TCTGGTGGTGTCAAAGTACTGCATAAATGTGAGTGGTTCTGATCACAATTTGAAGAGACCATGCTTTCCTGGATTTCTTATCTTTCTGACTAATTCCTTGGTTTTGGGTTTCCTCCACTGATTCTTCTCCCCTCTTCTGGCCTCTAACGCTAGGCACTGCCCCAAGCTCTCTCCTTGGTCCTCTTCTTGGTCTACATACACTCTCTTTCCATGCCATCTACTTTCATGGGTTCCTTTACCATGACTATACTAAGTATACCCAAAACCATATATCTGACTGCATTTCAGTTTCACGTTTTTGACTATATTTAAAAGATATCTACACCAGAATTTTCTGTCATTTATCAAACTCAAAACTGAACTCATCAGCTTCCCCCCTCCTATTTCAACCTACAACTTCAAGACCCTCCATAATCTAGCTCCAACCTCCCTTTCCAGCCTTTTTTTATGTTAGTCTATTTCATTCACCTCACTGGGCTACTTGCCAGTACCCTAATAAAGAAAATTCTTATTTCCTCCCTTTGCTACCTCACAGGGTTGTACTAAGGATTCAGTGAATAAATGTGTGTAAAAGTGCTTGGTACACTATAAAGTATTATACAAATGTGCAAGTGCAATGAATTCTAGGAGTCTCAGTCACCTACCCTCCCTTCTTCCCCTGATTTTTCCCTATCCTCTCCTACCTCCAGGTATTTGCACAAACTGACCTCAATACCTGGAGCAGAATAGTTTAGGATCTTCTCCTACTAGACTTGTTCACTGTCTTCAAGATCCTGCAGACACTCCCTCCTTCACAAAGCGTTCCCTGATTCTACCATCTCAAAGTAATACGTACTTCTTGGATCTCTCAGCTTGTATATACTATCTCATTCAAATATGAATGACAGCTATTTATGTTTATATCCTTTGATGTAAGCAGCTTGATGGCAAGGAAAATTTCTTTTTCTAATTCCCTATCTCTAGGGCCATATATATAATAAGCATTTAATAAATGTTTGACTAAACTGATAATTATGAAAGACAAAGTTCTTACTTGGTTGGAGAGGTTGTTTTACTCAAGTGTTAGTGGCTCTGAAGGTCCAAACTGACTCTCTGAACTTAAGACGAGAATACCTATAAATAGGCGAGTTGCCATGTATGGTTATCAAGAGATATTTATAGCTATACTTTTATGAATATTACGTAGGAGATTAAGTGATCAGGTTTCGAGTGGTTCATGTAATACATGATGTATAATCATTAAATATTTTAAGAATATTTAAATGTTATTTATAAAGCTAACATATTTATATGCTTACTGATTCAGATATGGCCAATCAATCCAGACTTTCTGCACTGCCCTTTCCAATCACAGAAAGTTATGAAGATTAAAGGAACAGTTTCTCTAGACTAGAGATGAAAATAAGCCAAATAAACTATAATAAAGTAACCTGACTCTTTCAGCTAAATATTCTGGACTATAGGGAAAAAACAACTACATTCACTTTTCTTTCTGTTTCTTTTTCATTGTTTCTTTCTTTTCAACAAAAGAAACTTTCTAACACAAAGATAAAATTACACAAATCTTTTCTTGGATTATTTTGAGAGGTGACTATTAGACTATATTTCTTGCTATTAAATTCTATTCTGCACACTGATGGAAAAAGAAGCTAACGGTATAGTCACATAATTGGTTTTGAATAAAATATACTATATAAAATAGTATAAATAAACTTATTGAATAAAATATACTCTAATGAATTTATGTTGTTATTGATCCAGAACTATGATTTCATGAATTTGGGGAACTTCTGGTATGGAAATTCTTTCCAATGATTCAGGTCAGCAATTTGCCTGTGGCATAGTTTTATGGAGTTGCTCAAGAGTACTATCAGGTTAGATAATAGTTATCCACGGTCACATACCAAGGACTTGAGGTGATCAGGTTATCCATAGTTACAAACCTAGTACTTGAAGCAGTATCTGAATCCAGGTCTTCCTGACTTCAAATCTGGCCCTCTGACCACTACACCAAACAGGCCTCTCTAATGACTTAAATGCCATAAATACTTTTTTACAGAGATTTAATTTTAATTTGTATTATTTCAACTCAATATTTTCCTACTCCTTTTACATATAGAATACGGCTTTTTATAACCTGAGAAGATAGTCTGTTTTAAAAAAAGGTTTAAGGAAAAAAAATCACATATAATAACTACCATGACTCAAGATTTTGGGAAGTATGGCTTTAGGCAAGAATGATTTGAATACTTAGATAACAGACTTTTGAGGAAGAACAAGGTTAATAAAACAAATGACAGCAACTGAACATGTGGCATTTAATCAACTTTCCATTATACCACACCTAACGTGGTCTGAATAATTCAACTGGGCATTTAGAAGCAAATTTCTTACCTAGTACCTAGAACAGGATCTGGAACCTAAGAAATAAATACTTGATTAGCCAAATGCCCTGAATCCTAGGGTAGGCAATGGGGGAAGGGACAGAGGAAGTCTTGAAGGAACCCAGGAGCTCTGAAGTAGGACCTATGCTACACTAAGAGATAGGCTTTAGAATTCCTACTTAACCTAAAGAAGAACCCTTTTCTGTCTTTTAGGCCTATGTCTGTCTTGATTCTAATTTGGGTTGGTAAGGGTAGGAGGTGGCTGGGCACCCAGCTAGATTCAGAACTTGTATTTGTTTGCCATTTTGATTTCTCCTATCCACAAATCCACCTGAATTTAGATGGGATGGGAAATGGAAATGGAGAAAGAAAAGGACAAATGTGAGGGGTCTTCCTGTTGGAACCTAGACCTTTGTGAACATGCAAGATCTTAAGCTTTACCAAGTGAATGACAGGCAACTTATATTGTACTCTTTATTGTAGGGAAACTTAACAAGCTATAGTGTCTTGGTGATCTGGTAAAGTTATTCTATGGTTGCTTTAGCTAACCTAAAATGTTTTGGTTTTTTTTAAACTTCCTATTTAATTTTATGTTCAAGGATTACCTAGTTTCAAAATAATGATGATTACTTCACCACAAACATAGCTTATACGCTACCTGTCCCTTGGATACATATTCATATAGTATATACTTTAAGGTGAAAAGTGATTTATCAGTATAACTGATAGCAATCTGTTTTAAATATATAACTAAAATTAAAATACAAAGGGATTTTTTTAAAGTTTTCAGAAGCATTAATAGAAGACCTCCTCTAAAACCCTACTCTCAAGTCTTAAAGTCTTATAAAAATGACCTTAGGTTCTTAAAGTCTGTTCAAGTTATGGCAGGTTCCATATCAACCTAGAAAAGCTTGAATAAAAGGCCCAGTAAGAGACTAAAAGACTATGTGCCTTGTCATCTGAGAGCCTGACCAGCTAAATTCAGAAAGCCTAATCACCCGATCAACAGGCAATGAATTAGGGGGGTGGGGGGGAAGCAGTGTGGCACAGCAATTAATGAAGATCATCCCCTAAAGAATAAAGAGAATTGCAATCTGTGTTGGTGGAAGGAGTGCCTGAAGCAACGAAATCATGAATTCTTGAATAATTAAATTAAATAATTAAGTTGGGATACTACTCAGTAAACATCTAAATCTCTAGAATGTATAATCTCCTTGATAGATTACCCTGAAAATAGATTATTGAGCCTAAGCTATTTAATACTGCTTCAGAATGTCACTTACTTTAAAAATGACATTTGCTTAATTTTAAAATATTTTGTATAACTGACAAGTTTTTAACTAGTGTGAAAACGTGTTCTGAAAAATAAACTTTATAGATTTTTTTCTTCGTAGAAAACTTTTTATTTTATGCCCTTAAATTTAAAATGTAAGTAGATTGTACTCTCCTGAAAATCTGATTTTGGAGAATGACTTTGTGGTCTACAGACAGATAAAACTACAAGAGATCTAACAGTTTCTGCAAATGGTTCTGGCTTCTATTTCTATGGAAACTGACATTAAATCACCAAAAAGGGGATACTGATGAAATAGAGCTTATTTTAAAACACCCCATTTTTTTGTGATCTGATGTCAGTTTCTATGGAAGCAAGAATAAAAGTGGCAACATACAGCTGAGCTGTTAAGAATTTTATAAGTTTTAACTTGTGCCCGAAATTCTGAATTATCATTTTATTTGCTTTTAAAGTGAACAGTTTAAAACATAAGCCACATGGGGCATAACTGTACTAAATATAGAAATGTTCTCAGAAAATGCATTAACACAACTTATCTATTTGGTGGTTTGATTTTGCTTTTTTGGTGGGGATGTTGGGGAGGAGTAAGGAAAAAAGCTGTGATGCTGAAGATGGCCATGAAAAACTATGGTAAAAAGGAAATAATCTGGTACATTTTAATAGGATTTGGTAGTACACTTGTTTTCTGGTATCAGGTACTAAGAAAACAAGCATTTATTTCAACACAGTTGAAGTGAAGAAAGGGTAAAATGTTCTTTAAGTAAATTAGAAGACCCTCCAAGATAATATTTGGATTTACAGTAACCTTTGAGTAAAACACTTCTAAAATTATATTAGTATTCTCACTACCTCATGATACCTGTTGTATTTGAGAGTATTACCTTCATAAAAATGGAAAGTTTCTGCCTTCTGTTACACGTAATGGAAATTAGGTACACTGTGCTATGATAGCTTCAGTGAGACCTAATTTAAGTACCACCCATACTCAATTAAGAGAGAAAAGTAGCTGGCAGTTTTATTTCTCAAATGGGGAGGTTAGTTATCTGTAATTAAATTTTTTTTAGAATTTTACTATTAAAAAATATCTCCTTTCTACAGATTAAAAATATTAGGGAAACAAATGCATGTATACACATTTAACTTAAAGACTTACGATTTCTGTGAAGCAACATGTACGCATATACACATGTCATTCTGGTCAATTATTCTAGCAAATATTGATAAAAATTTTTAGCATCTTCTAAACACATCCTAAAATGGAGAAATTCTTATTATTAGAAAACATGATAAATTACTGCCTACTTAGAGTATATTGTTCTCACCAGACTGATGATGTGTATGGTGCCCAGAAGCTTCTAAGGACAGTCTCTGTTCAGTGTCTGGAGAGGAAAGCAAAGATGTTGAACGAGGGCTTTCTGTGGAAGATGATGTCGATGGAGCCTGAGCTGACACGGTAGAAGACGAAGATGACTGAAGAAACTGCTCTGCAGGAGCGTCCACTTCCATTGCAGCCTCACCCATTTCTAATTCAGCACTTGACTGGCCAGTAGGAACAGTAGAAACATCCGACTGATTTGTCCCTCCTTCAATAAATACATATTCAACGCAGATTGAAATTTAAAATTATCTTTCTGAAGCCAGAAACTTTAACATAACATCAGGAAATAAAAGACGGGGGAATAAAAGGAGTACCATGGTTTCAAAGATGACAAAACCTTTAGTTGATCGGATCAGTTTATTAAAAGTGACCAATTTGGTGGAAACAAAATCAGTTTAATTGGCCCTACACAGAGTCCAAATGATTGCTTCCCATCATGTGAAAGCTAATATGTAATGTGCTGGCCCAACTCTATGAACATAAATTTTAACAGTTTCAATAGCAGAGACACAGATTTACAGCGACACAGCCCTACACTATTACCCAATGCCCCTCATGAGCAATGGCATCTAACTGGTAATCATCAAACTGTGCTTAGCGGTACAATCATCTGAGGGCACAGAGTCCTGCTCCTGCTCTGCCCCCAGTTAGTTACTGAGCTTGGGCAACTCAGTTGAGGTGGATGAGTATCAGGCTCGTTATCTGCACAATGAGGGAGTTGGATCAAATAAACTCTAAGGCCCCTTACAGCTCTATATGTATGATCCCATGACTAAATGATGTCCATGTTCCCTGTTGGTTCTGATGTTATAATTAGTTCACATTTTGTAGCCAAAAAACTCCAAATAGCATCAAACACATGGTCCCAAATTTTCTAGAACTGAATAATTAAGTAGTCCAGCTATTAACAACTCAATAAACATTAATAGGTTAAGAATATGTATAGCCATATGAACCACACAAGCTTGAAAAGGATGCTATCTCATTTGTTTCCTAAATCTCAATTTGGTGGGAAAAGTTCAGAAGGAAGGTTGGTCCCCAGATTACACAGAATGCCAGAATCTAGGATCTAGGATCTAAAGCCGGAATCTGAGATTGTCTTCTAGTTCAAGTCCCCCATTTTACAGATGAAGAGACGTAGCATTATCCAAAGTCAAATAGGCAGTAAGTGGTAGAAGCAGGCTCCTCTAAGTCCCATCGAGTACTCTTTCCAACTTTTTCTATAACAGAAATGCACAGTACCAATAACATCTCCACAATTAATTTTATATTGATACTCATTCTGGACACTGTGATTTAAATATTCCCTTGTTTAAGATTAAGCATAGCTATACACACCTCCTAAACTAATTCATCACTTATAGAATGAAAAAAATTAGCCACCAAAAAATTAAATTAGTTTACTTAAAAGACAAACAGTATAAAATTGAGTTAGATTTTTTTGTTTGTTTGAGGATTTGAAAAATTTGAACTATATTTAATAACTAAAGAAGAGAAACTATTAAACCATGGAAGATATAACTATGAGGAAGGCCTGCTTGCAGTCTCCTATTTCTTACAAAAGGGTTTAAACTGGGTGATCTCAGATTTTTTTTTGTTCTTTGAAGAGAAGAAAAGGACTAGAGAAATCAATAAGCAAAATGTGGCATCTCTTTCCCTCCCCAATTAGAATTTTGGCGCTTGCTGCTCCCAATCAAAACTCTGGAATCATAGGCAATATGGTACTAATAAAAATGTTATTGTAAATCTCTCTACTAATAAAAATTTTATTATTTTTCACATTGATAGTTTCTCTTTGGTAATTTTTTGAAATACGTAATGAATAAAAAAATTTACCTCTAGAGCGAGATCGTCCCCGTCCTCTGTTGCTTTGAGCAACTTCGCTAGCTTCTTCAAACCATCTTGATAACATATCAGACATCCTCTGCATCAATGATACATTAGGGCTTTGCTCTCCTATAATAATAAAGCGTTTCTAAATCATTCAAAATCTCTTCTTTCAACACAATTACCACTGGAAATTCCTAGGAGAACTTTTTCAAATGAAAAAAGAACCATGAATAGACTGTGTGGAGAAAAATATACTCTTTCACTTACAGAATCAGTGAAACAAGATATATTTTTGTTATAGTTTTACCATAAATAAAGTAACTAATAAAAACAAATATTTAGTAACAGATAACTAAACCTTACTTGTATTTAAAGTATGTAAATTCCAAAGAAATATCAACTAATGCTTAAGCAAGTGGTACTGCTATTTCCTTTTCTTTATAACTGAATTTGGGGGCTTAGAAATAAAATATCTAGTGTCCTAATATAGTGGCAGAAATGACTTTCTTTCAAGTCTTAATTACAATTTATTAAAGAATTCCCTATCACTTGGATATTGTGGTGATATTGAAAAAAATACTAAAATACAAAGTTTTAGGAGATAACATATCTGTATTTATCATATTATCATGTTTATCATTTATTGTTTATCATATCATATTATCATATTGTTTATCATATTATCATTTATTGTTTATAAAGCAAGTTACTTACTGAAAATCTGTAAGACACATAGTGCAAATATTATCCCCATCTTACAAATGTAGAAACTTTCAGAGATATAAAGTCTTGCCCAAATGGCACAATGAGGACTTGAATCCAGGTCCTCTATTTCCAAGCTCATCTTATATACAATGCTGCCATTCAAGTTTATAAGTATGATAAAAATGGTGCAGAGATTTTAAATATGAACTCATTTAGTGGAACACACTTTAGTGCTTTAAAGTCTATCACTAAATAGCATCTATGTCACTATTCTGGCTTTGCATGTGTGCTACATAACAGATGAAAAAATGTTTTAGTTAAAAAAAGAAAAGAAAAAAGTCTGTATTTCTTATTATTAGTATATTATATGTTAGGTGTTTCTTTCTGCTGTATTTTTTTTGCTTCTTCTCCCTAAGAATCCATAATATTAATATGACAGAGCACCAAGGTTCTTTTCATGCTTTAGAAGGTAGAGGAAATTACAAGAGAAACTGCTACTCTAGATACAGTTCTTACCAACAAAAAGGAAGAGGCTACTGATATAGAAACAAGAGAAATATGTAGGGCAGGGAACATCATACCACTTCTGGAGACCGTAAAAGAAAAGGAGAAGAAAACTTGTCTTGGGTTAACATGCACCCTCGATTTTATGAGAATTGATTTCAAAAGCTTCAGAGAAAGGATGAGTAAGATCTAATGATCCAGTCTTTTTCAGGGAAGTCAGCCCAAGTAGGATGGAAAGCTATTAATGAAATTCTGAAGACTGAAGCCAACATAACTAATGAGTAAGAAAAAAGGGAGCACACTAAAGAGACTGAAGTGGAGGCAGAGGGAGCTCAGGGACAACCTCAAACTAAAAGACATTTACAGAAGAGGCAAAGAAGATCAAATGACTAGGGGAGAATGCAAAAGAGAAATAAGAACCATATTAAGACCACTGAAGTACAGAAGAAGTGGAAGCTGACAAAAAATGTGAAAAAATGCTAACAGAAGGTGGTTTATTTTTTCAGTTACTTGGGAAGCAAAGGACAAAAACCACTGCTCAAGGTCAACAGCTAATCAACTCTTCTTTTGCTTCTGTTTTCTCTTCCAAGGAGAATGCTTTTTGGACTGGGAAGGGAAGAAGACAAACAGCAGGGAGTGGAAAAGCAAGATACAGGAGGTCAAATCACCAGATCTGGATCAACAACAGAATACTGAAAAAATAGCAGCTACAATAGCTTATCTGCTGTCATTAATCCCTGAAAGAACCTAAAGAATGAGAGATATGCTGCAGGCTGGCAGAAGGGCAAATGTCTGAATTTTCAAGCAACAGAAGGTGGAATCTACCAACTAGAGACTAGTAAGATTGCTACTGGTAGAATTCTAGGACACTGTATTAAGGGAATAGTCTCTAAGCATTCAGAAACAGAAATAGTGACTACTAGAAGCCCACATGATTTCATCAACAACAGGTTACCTCAGATTAACTTCATTTTTTTTTTTTGGACAGGCTTCTGATTACTAGAGACACATTATATTAGAGCAAAGTATTTAACAAAGTCTCTCATGCTAAGTTTGTGGGTAAGATGGAAAAATAAGAGCTAGATGGCTATACAGTTAGGGAGATTCAAAACTGGTTGAATAATGGAACACAAAGCACAGTATAAATGGCTTTTTGTCCACTTGGAAGGAGGTTCCTAGGAGTGCCCTAAAGATCCGTCCTTGGCTCTGTGCTGTTTAATAGCAATGACTTGGTAAAAGGCATGGAAGGTCTGTTCTTATTAAATCTGCCTCTGACACAATGTTTGAAGGGCCAGCTAACATGTCACATGACAGATCTCTAAAGGCTAGAATGATGGGTCAAATCAAGTATTATGAAATTTAATAGGGATAGATGTTAAATTTTACACACAGATTCCCAAAAAACCAACTTTAGAAATATAAGATGGAGTAGGTATGACTAGATAACAGCTTCTGTGACAAAGGTCCAGGTATTTTAGTAAACTAAAAGTTCAATGAATCAACAGTGTTATTGTGGCAGTTAAAAGTTAATGCTATCACTTCATCAGCTTAAAAGAAACATTGTGAACAAAGGAGCTATACTCTACCTTGATCTGGTCACACCTGGAAGGTGGGTGAGGATGGAGAGAATACTGGAGAACATACTATACAAAGACTGGTTCAAAGCAATGGGAATGTTTATCTTTTGGGTCTAAGAGTCTTGGCTACTGTTGTTTAAAACTCAAATAAGATAATATATTTGTAAAAATCACTACAGGATACATATTGTTTTAAATCTATTGTTTTAAATTGTTTTTAAAACTTGAAAGGAAAACATAATGAACATATTATAATGTGAAATAACAGTTGCAAAGATCAATAGCATGTAACAATTACAGATTATCTAGTGTGATTTCACTTGCTATCCAATTAACAACTAAGGTACAAGCATTCTTAAACTTTGGTGAACACAAAAACCAACTTGATCTGCATGGTGATTTACTTAAACTGGCTAACTTTTTCAATAATATCAAAATTGACAAATTCTCATTTATTCTTTGTAATCCAAAGATATTGGATACTGAAAACTCAAAGCATAATTACCATCTCGCTCTCGCTCACTCTCAGGCCGAGCTCTCGGTCCAGTATCTGACCAGTCACCACGAAGTCTCAAACGTTTAACTGGAGGCTGTCGTAACTAGGAAGGTAAGGAGAAGGTCACTGAACAAATCTCAAATCCTTGTAAAAGGAAAATTACTTACATGGTCCCAAATCACCTGTTAACCGTAAGAAATAATTACCTAACTTGCTTCCTCATTGAGTGTCAACATTCTAAAATGGTTCACAGACAAATAAGTATCTGATAATCTTATGTTGTTAGGAGATGTTGATCAAATGTTATAAAGGATACCGAAGAAACACAAAGTTGAAAAGCCCAAAGCAGCACACACAACTCTGGTGATAATGAGTACACACTGAGATGCTTCAACCAGCTAACTTAGCATCCTGTTTATCACATACATGGCCACTGGGCTAGGCAAGAACCTAAAATTTCTAGCCCCTGCCCTGATTACATTCAGAGCATTGGTATTTTCCTGTGCTAACATGGTTAACCTGCTTGAATTACAGGATTTGTGAGCTGAATTTCAAGGTTTCATTCACTTTCGTTGTCCCCCATTTCTAATATATGTCATTTAGGAAGATTCTCCTGACAAATGGACCACTCTTTTGCATTTGTCCATTTTAGTCACTAAATAATCAAAAGCATTTGTTTCTGGATAATTTCCCACTTAGCTTTCTCTTTGAAATACTTTTTTTTTTTTTAAACTGCTCCCACCTGTGACCACAAAGGATGTGTAACAGGTTTTATTAAGTGGTCACTGAACATGGCTCTCTGCCATTTGGCTGCCTTGCGGATTTGCTTGCTTACTTACCCTGATGCTTTCTGTGTCCCCTCAGTAGTCTGACTGGCCCATCACCTATACCCTTTCTTCCATAGTCCTATCTCTTTCTATTGCCACCCCCACCCCTTCTCCCAAACTTCTGCCAACACCAATGATGCCCATGTTCTTCTATTCTCTACTTCAGATGACACTGAGTACATTTATCCCAAACCCAATGCCCTTAATAGCCAATGTCATCCTGAGCATTCTTATAACTGAAAGAAAATAATTTAATAGGCACATATATAACACTGCTTCCTGGTTTTAAGGGAGAAGATACTCAAAGCTCAAAGAAGAGCAGGACTAATGAATTAATTAGGGCCCTCAAATTAAAAGTGGCTTCAATTTTGCTTCTTTGAGATGTGACTGAAGGTGGAATGAGCTGCCTCTGGAAGTAGTGGGCTTTCCATCCTTACAGGTCTTCCAGCAGAGGCTAGACAGCCATTTGTCTGGTACGTTAGGAGTGGGGATTCATTCTGTGTATAAGTTGGACAAGCTGACTGCCAAAGTCATTTTCCCAAGTCTCAAATTCTGTGATTCTGTACTTTGGAATTGAAGAGGAAAATCATTCACTTGGTGATGGCCTCATAATTGTTGAAAAGAAGCAAGACTATGATCAAAAGGAAAAACTGTGATGGGCTACATGTCAATAGAAGAACTGATTCTACTAGCTGATAGGCATAAACAAGTCCCTTTGGAAATTACTTACGTGCATCTAGGTGTGCAATTTCATAATTTTAAAATCAACTTTAACACTAGCAATCTTTACTTCTACCCATATTTATTTACAAAAACATTTTGCTATCAAATGCACTGGTTATCCCCATGCCTGGAATATACTCCTTTTTAGAATTCCTTCTTTCCTTCAAAACTCAATTCATTTGAAAGCTTGTACACAAAGCCTCTGCTGATCCCCTACTTACTAGTCCCTTTCTCCCCTCCACCCCTGGCACATAAGTAGACAATTACTCAATGTTCACAGAACTGAAGTTCTTACCTCTTCTCTCCTCTCCTCAGAAGAAGGGGTTTTAAGTTCTCGTGCTGTGTCATCTTTAGGGTCAAAGAGATAGATGTAATCTGAAGAATAACTAACAAGAATTTCCTGACCATCTTCACTGTAACACAGAGACGTAACTCGACAAGATTTGTTATTAAGATGAGGAGGAACAAAACGAGCCACCATTCCTGTAGTCCCACGACCTGCATAATTCCCTAAATTGAAAAAAAAGTCTTAAAATTCATGGTTTCATAAATACATAGTTACAAAAAAGACAAACATTTGAATTACATCCTTGATCAACATTTAAATAATTTCTACCTAATACCATCTAAAATTAATACAGTGGTATAAATTTAAAATATAACATTCTATTTACATAATAAGCTTTTATTCAATAGGCAAATTAAGTTAAATATTCTCAAATCGTCTTTGGAACCAGGAAAATATATTGCAGACAATTAACATATCTCTAATAAAATATTAATACCATTGGGGAAAAGGTTTAAATTGAAAAAAAAAAAAGTTTTATTGGAAGTATTTTTCCTCTAGTAAATTAAAGTCTTTTATAGTAAGTAAAAGAAATATACAAATATATTCTTCAATCATACCGGTGTCACTAGCTTAACACTGACAAAATTTTAAACACATTTTGCCTTTAATAAATAAGGCAAAGTTGGTGTTTATTAGAATAACAGATAAAATATAATACCCACACAAAAGTAAAGAAATTTTTTGAAAGAATCTCTAAATAAGATTTATGTCTGAAGGAAAGGATCATGTACTAGAGTATGGATGCTATTTAAATTTTTAAAAAGTAAAAATGAGAACTGTGTATCATTTTGACAAGCTAAAGCACTGAAACTAGTTATCTGCTACATATGGCACTACTGACCACTCTTTGCTCCTGGAGACTTCCTCTTTGGTCTTCTGACATGACTCTCTCCTGGTCCCACTATATGTCTAACCTCTCTTCAGTCTCCTTTACTGGTTTATCATCTATATGCTTATGTTTTCCAAGGCTCTGCACTAGGCCCCCTACTTCTCTCTATACATAATCGCTCATTTCATTTGATCCTCACAACAACCCTGGGACGTGGATGTTGTTATGATCTCCATTTATATTTGTGAAAACTGAGGCAGAGGTTAAGTGACTTTCTCAGGGGCACACAGCTAGTAAGTATGTGAGACCAGATTTTAATTCAGATCATCCAGACTTTAGGCTCAGTACTTTCGCCACTGTGCCACCTAGCTGCCTCTCTTCATCAAATCAGATCAAACGAAGTATTTTAAGCAATTAGCAGAGTGCCTGACACGCCTCTCCCTTAGTGACCTCATAAGCTCCCATGGATCTCTATGTTGGTGACTCACAGGTCTATACCCATCACCTCAGTTTGTTTATTCTAACTTTCACTGGCAGCACATTTAGAATACAACTTCTTTAAGGTTTTAGTGGAGAGTCTCCAGGAGTTGCCATAGTCCCAAAATCTTCATCCAGAACCTGGTGGTGAACAATCTGTCAAGAAGCTCTTTCAAACTTAGCCAGCCTTACTCTCAGCCCACAGAATCACAGAAATGGGCTGCCAAAGACCAGAGCTGAATCTTTAAAAAAAAAAAAAAAAAAAAAGGCAGGACCTACAAGAACTGGATCTCCATTGGGCCACCTCCATGCCACAGTGTGGCGTCAGAGTCTGCCTTCAGCGGAGAAAATCCAACTAAACTGAATTTTGTTACAAACCAAAGTGGCCATAAAATTTTCAAATATACCACAAATCAGAAAGTTACAAAACTAAAGTTACCTTATCAAAAGTTTAATGTGCTGTAACTAATTTACATTTCTTACCTGTGGCTCTTGTGCCAAGCATTCGCCGATCATATATTCGTACAGAGCTATCAGAACAGCCAACAGCAAGATAATATGGTATTGGGGGACAAATAGCTACAGAAGTAGCAGCACGCCGGCAGTTAATTAAGATATCCTTTGAAAAACAGGCAAAATAACAGTATTTATAAAACGTCTGTCAGTAGAAACAAAATAAAATAGTTTAAAAAAAACTATTCCCTGTTCCTAAAACAAAATCGCTTTCTCACAGACACTTTAATTTAGCACGACAGAAAAAAAGGACAACTAAGATACCTTAAAAATGAATTGAACTGATACTGTCATAAAGTATTTCTGACTCCTTCATACCCAACAGTGGAATATATATTTGCTAAGTGTATTTCCTGTGTTGTCATATTTTATTTTTCCAAAGAATGTTATTTAAAAAATTTTTGACATTCATACTAAAACTAATTTCTAATATGATGTATATAATTTCCAATGCAATAAATTTAAGTGAAAAAAGTAAATGTGCATTGAAAAACTAGCAACAGTTGCTTACATTTATGTAATAGTTTACTGTTATAAAATGTTTTATGTACATTATGCAGCTGAGGTAAGGTAGGTACTATCATATCTCTGCACAAATGAGAAAACTAAGCCTCAGAGAAGTTAAGTGACTTAGCCTAAAGTCACATTGTTAGTAAATGGAATTCAGGACACAACACAGCTCTTCCAGTTACAAATGCAATGCTCTTTATTGCATCTCGCTGTTTGCTCACTAGAACAATGAGATCAAAATGTAAAAAAAAAAAAACAAACCCAAAACCAAAAACACCTCCAAACATTTGGCTTTGATGTAGGAAAAGAATTCTGCAGACAAAGGAAGAAAAAAGTCACTCGAATTTAAGCTGATTGTGTTGAATTGGAAGAAATTAAGAAAAGGCTATTTGTTACAATTTATTGAAATTCTTTAGAAAAAAAGTCTCCTCATACTAACTGTTAACAAGAAGTTTTTGTTACTAACATGGCTACTAACAAGTACTTGCTGCACTCTTTAGCCATGCATGTACTGTTCTCCTACAATCACTTAACAGACAGTGGTCTTGAAGTACCATGTCAAAAATGCAAAAAACTATAAGAAAAACACATGGTCTAAACACCAAGCTAACAATGAGGGTAGATGAATAACAATCTGCTATGGAAGGAAATGTTCTTGGTTGCCTCAGATGAAGCATACTGATCTTTTTAAATACTGCATATAACATTTTAAATGTTCAAATATTAAAAGACACTATATTATTAATTTAGTCTTTTTCCCCCCATTGTATCCTCACAATCTGAAAAAATTCTTCCTACTTCACAAAAGCACAAAAAGGATGACTGTAGAACAGTATCATTACTCATTACTATTCAAATACAACAAATATTAACGTTATACCAAAGTTCAATATTAGTTCCTCAAGAGGATGTCTCTAAAGCACATTCATCTAATTACTGCTGATGTTTCACTATGATATGGTCTTTTACTAACCTGGTATATATTTACATTTTCCTTGAAAAAACTAATTTTCTTAGGTATTCTGAGTCCTCAGTCTCATGATATTTCTCACTAAACTGAATTCATTAGCCAATTATTTTTCATGATTCTTAACTCTCAATAACTGTTATTTCCACAGTTTTTACTTTATTTTTCCTCTCATTGTACAACTAACTACACTTCACTTTTCTGTGTGTAAAATAATCAAAAGCTGACCAAGAGATTAGTGGGGCATACTGATCTACCTTATGTTTCCTCAGATTCTACTGGCCCTGTATTTATTCAAATACAATGAGAATTCATCATAAGTTACATAGCAATTTAAGTCTTTGCAGTATATTGTATGCCCCAACCATTCTTATACACTTCTTTAAAAAGAAAAGTAGGTGATAATTGAGCACTCCTTCAATGAGATTCTGTTTTGTAAAATGATTCACCATAGGTTATTTTTTAATAGCTGGAACCTACATTGCATTTAAAATACGATCCAATTTACAAAATCTGATTTACATATATCTTTTCTGGATTCATCTGTTAACTGGAGTACAGTCCTTAACTGTAATAACGACATGGAAAGTTATCCCAGTAGTGCAGAGGGGACAATATTCTAGGAGTGGCTAGGGGAGATAGCACTGAAGCCAATTGGGACACAAGAGAGAGGGGATTTTTTTCAAAATTTTATTTATTTTATTTTGAACTTAATAAATAAAACAAGCATTTCCATAACAAAGTGGGATAGAGGAACAGGGGATTATATATGAAATTGTAGATCC